ATTCAATGCCCCTTTCGCCCTTCCCCATAAATGCTCAGACTGGCAGATACAGAGGAAAGAATTAAAGGCCCCCACTAGTAGATATGAAAACATTACACTCGGGCCTCTGGCAAGTGTTTGGTATCTGGGCTTCCCTTCAGCGTCCCCACCCCTACTCATCTGTGCACAAAGTAAACGCACAGGAAAAGCCCACGTGAGGTGCGCTCTGTGCCGCTCAGGCTCCTGTGCCTGGGGCAGCGCGAGCTCACTGTGTTTCAACGTGGGAATCAGGGTCTGACCAAGTCATCACAACCAAATACGTTAGGGTGAAGCAAGCGTTCATGACTTGTTTGATTTCTCCCACAGAGAGCCCTGATTTCAGTCAAAGCCTGGAGCAAAGCCTGATCTCTAGGAAATATAAGGAAACATTTGTTTTTGAAAGCAGGTTAATGGGTGTGACGTCCATGACCTCCCCCTGAGAATGACAGGAAACTCTGGGCAAATTATGAAATCCATGATCGAATGTACCAAATTGCTAACAAGCCAGGAAGGGACATGAGGCCAAGATGGAGAAGAAGGAAGCCCAGGACTGGGTCCACCTTCCCCGGGGGTCACCCGGTAACTGCAGAGGAAACCACTGAGATGCAAAGCAGCCCGGCAGCCGGTGCCCCCTACGCACGGGCACCGCAGTCAGACAGCTGGAGCTCCTGGCCCGTCAGTGAAGGCGACCCCTAGAGAGACCTACAGGCCTTAGCTGGGATCCACGAGAGCTACGTGCCAGGAACAACGGCGGACAGGAGACACACGGGCCTCACGAGGGCTGGCTGCACTGACTGATCTCAGCTGCTAACTGGGTTAACAGGATGCAGTGCTGCTGGCGCCCTGACCATCTGCCAGCCGTAATGCCCACCTTCTCTGCAGCAAGTTAACCTCACACTAGGCCTTGAATTTTCTCTATTTTCGACCCAATGTCTAGAGTTTAATAAAATGATAGACACATGGCAGGTCATGACACTTTGATGTGGTTGAAACCTAAGGACGATAAAAACGGACCTAGGGGGATCCGGATAATGAAGTGACTAAATCTGGTCCAAGAACCCGCTAAGATCTCAAACTAAATACAAACAAGACTCTGGTAACCAGTTAGAATGAACAGAAGCAGCAGATTACAGAAATCAAGGCAGAAAAGCAAACACCAATCTGTACTGATCGAATATGGTAAAGAAATATGGTGGTAAGCATTCTGAAACATGTTACAATAGCCATGTAACTCCACACGCTCATTCACACACTGTCGCAATTAACACAGGAACGTCTTACTCTTCAGTGTCCATAGTTCTCTGTCCACCGATTTCATCAAGGAAGCGTACTTTCTTCACCTTCCTTTGGAAATTGGAGTCCTCTCCTTTCAGAGATCCTGATGCAGCACGGTGGTCTTGCATTTTCTTCTTACCCTCTATAAACATAAAACAACTGTCTTTGTGTGTGCACATGTGCACTCAAGAGCTTGGCTGTGCTGGGGAGTGGAGAAAGGAGAGAATCCTGAAGGCAGGAATCCACTTTTTACCTTCCCAGTGCAAACTCATTGCTATTACAGGCATGTTTCATTTTATTGCCCTCCCCAGTAATGCACATTTTTAAAAATATTGAAGATTTGTAACAATCTTGAGTCCAGCAATTCCACTGGTGACATTTTTTCCTGACAGCATTTGCTCATTTCTTATCTCTGTGTCACATTTTGGTAGTTCCTGAAATAGTTCGTTCCTTATCACTTTAATAAAACAGGCATGACATTACTTTAAGGCACCTAATCCAGCGGAAGTCCCTAATTCTCAGCAATTCTATGAACCCTGAGAGAAAGAGACTACAAAAGAAAAGTGTGAAGACAGCAGGGGCTGGCCCATGAAGTTTAAGGCAAGATTCCATCTCCACTGCATACCTGTGCAAGGTAAGGCAGGAAGAGCTGACCCAGAGGCTGCTGCAAGTGCTCCAGGAGGTGAAGCTGAGACAGCTCATGAAGGCGGCTGCACTGAACAACAGGGTTTCAGTGCAGAGACCTGCAAGGGGAGGCCACCCAGCGCCGTCGCAGCTGGAGAGGAGGAGTCAGCACCTGGCATCAAGGCTTCAATGGATAGGCTCACTTTCCCGTGAGGGGCTAACACAGCCAATGCTCATTTAACGTTCTGAAAATCCTCTGTCCTGTGAGAATCGTGGGAAATCTACTCTGTGCTCTATAAATGGAACAAAGCCTGGATCACAGAACATATATTTACATGAGTATTTTAGTCCACCGTTGAGACCTACTGCTCAGCGGAAAAAACAAAATAAACCAAAAAAACCTTTCTTTCAAAATATTACTGCTCATGGACAATGCACCGGTCACCCAGGAGCTCTGATGGAGATGCATGAGATGAATGCTGTTTCCATGCTTAACACAACATCCATTCTGCAGCCCGCGGATCAGGAGTAATTATGACTTTTAAGTCTCATTATTTAAGAAATACATTTTGGAAGACTTTAGCTGCCACAGATAGTGATACCACCAATGGGTCTGGGCAAATAAATGGAAAACTTCCTGAAAAGCATTCACCATTTTAGATGCCAGTAAGAACATTCATGATTCGTGGAAAGTGAAAATATCAACATGAACCAGGCTTTGGAAGGAACTGATTCCAATCCTGATGCATGACTTTGAGGGGCTCAAGACCTCAGTGCTGGAAGGAACTGCAGACGTGCTGAAAACAGCAAGAGAACTAGAGCTAGAAGTGGAGCCTGAAGACATGACTGACTGGCTGCAACCTCATGATAAAATGTGCATGAATGAGGAGCTGCTTCTTATGGACGAGCAAAGAAACTGGTTTCTTGAGATGGAATCTATTGGTGAAGGTGCTGTGAATAAGGTTGAAATAACAAAGGACTTAGAAGAGTGCGTGAACTTAGCTGATAAACCACCGCAGGGTTTGAGAGGACTGACTCCAATTTGGAAAGATGTTCTCCTGTGTGTAAAATCTATCAAACAGCATTGCCTACTACAGAGGACTTCTTCCTGAAAGGGAGAGTTGCCCTGTGACAAACTTCACTGTGGTCTTACGTTAAGTTGCAAAAGCCACATCAATCTTCAGCAACTGCCACAATGATGGGTCAGCAGCCACCAACATCAATTCCAGACCATCCACCAATGAAAAGACAACACCTCACTGAAGGCTCCGGTGGTGGATAGTAGTTTTTAGTAAGAAAGTATATTTTCATTAAATTATGACCATTGGGGTTTGTAGACACAGTGGTTATTGCTCACTTAATAGACTGCAATGTAGCGTAAACATAACTGTTACATGCACTGGAAAGCCAAATTAAAAATCATTTCACTCTCTTTACTATGATACTTATTTTATTCTAGGGGTCTAGAACTGAAGCCACAACATCTCCTAGGAAGCCTGCATATGAGGTTTTCTTCCCAACAAGCTACATACCTTCCAGGTTGCATTCCTCAGTCGTCATGGCTCTCTGCATAGAACCCTCAGATCTGGTCTTCAAAATGCCTGCTGCAAGACAGATGTGAGAAAAGACGTTCAGGAAGCACTGATGCCCAGCAACGTGAATGTACGTAACACGAGAGGATCGTACACTTGGAAACGGCTAAGACGGGTCATCTGCTTTATATGTGTTACAGCACAGACACAAACACAGTGACGCTCAGCTCTCTGATGTAAGCATCTCTGGGGTGAGGAATGTTTCTTACCCTCTTCTTGCTGCTGAGCTGGACATTCTCCTGCACACACACTTCTTCAGGTATCACTGTGGCTTTGTGGACACAAGCTTTATTAAGAGCAATTTCAAAAGAGAACATTCCCATTGATGACTAAATCCCAAGAAAAGTAACTTGAATAGACATCAACATTTAATCTTCTAAGACATGAGATTGTTGTTCCTTGTGAAAGCTCATGTGTACAGTGGAAATCCTGCTGCAACTGGAGGCATTTCCCTCTGAAATTCCTGAAGCGTTTATTGAAATAGCGTCTTTCAAGGTCTCTGGAGACGTTCCTTTTTCCAGTATCTTCACACAGGACACAAACAAAGCATGAACTTAGATTTCAATGAAAACTCAGGGTGATCTGCTTAAAGGTGTAACTTTTTTTTTTTCAAAAACAAATTATTGTGTTAAGTGCAAAACAAACCATAGAAAATAAATATATTAGCTCTGGTACACGTCCCAAGACTTTGGTGAGCAGTCTCTCTAGAAGGCAGTGAAATGATTCTGAACACACACATTTTAAAAAGAATAGAAAGCAAGTGTCATACGTCCCGTTACACATGCTTCAAAGCATCTGGGACTTCGCATGAATCTCAGTGTGGGGTCAAAGACAGTGTCTGCTCCATTTGAGAGTTCACAGCAGACAGGGTCTCTTCAAGTTCTAGCACTGGAGTCCCAGCAGCTCGTTCTGACCCTTCGTGCTTTGCATTTCCTTCTTCAGCTGGTCCTCTTCCACTGCCAGCCTGTCAATCTCTTCCAGCAAGTCTTGGTTTGTTCTGATGGGCAGTTGCTTCTCTTCAACCCATGTGGAATCCTGCCCCTTCTCAGCCAGGACCCACAGCCACCCCTAAGTTTCCTGTGATGGCGGCTGATCCAGGCTGGGCCCAGGACAAATGTCAAGCCCACGAAGACATGTAGAACAAAGACATTCAGGCACAGATATTCCCTAGCCTCCACAGATTTCCTCCTCACTGGACAACGGAAGACATGGCTGGACGACAAGCGGAAAGCAAGGGTGGGAAACTGCTCATGTCAAAGAGCTCACAAATGAGTGTTCCTAGTGGAATATAAAGTTTTCCCAAATTCACACGGAAAATTCTCTCTTTAACATAAACAGGGCTAAGGGCTGTGCACCTCGGCTAGATAACTTCCTTCGTCTCTCAGGTGTCTCCTGGCATTTTCTATGTATCTTGGAGGGCAGTGTGAGTGGTGAGAAAACTCCCCAGGTTGTGGAAGTAAGACCTATTTCCTAGTCTCTGAAGTTAAAAAGTCACGCAGGTTCATTTAGTCCGTGAAATTCTGGGTCGTCGTTCACAGGGAGGTTCTGCTCCCAGGCTCCCACCCTCTGCCGTGGCCAAAAGTGGGAGGAGCGGGAGCGCGCAGCCCACCCAGGGCACGGAAAGCCTCTGAAGCCCAGCCGCAGCCAGTGCAGCAGCCAAGCGCTTACCGAGCGCGGACGCGGGGCGGTCTGCTCCAGTGCTGCCTGCAGCTTAGCTCGAGCACTTTGAATGAAGCCTTTCAAACTCTCATTAACCCTCTCCATGGTTGGCATGTACTCCTTCAACAGAACATATTGAATCAGTAACAGTTACTCATTATTTTCATTTCTGCTTTCAGAATGTAATCCAGGAAAAGAAGAGGCTCGTACCTTAAACTTCAGTGCTTCCTCAGAGAGCATCTTTTGCCTAATGGTCTCCTCCATGCATTTCTTTGTGTCGTTGGCCTGTGCAAGTATGTAATAAAGGAAACAGAATTACAAATACTAATTACGCTGCTAGCCGAACCTATCTTGTGTGTGACCCCTTCCACTAATACAGAAAGTGGTGCTGTACATATATGACACCTGCTTCATTTACTTCTTTACTGAAGTATATGTCAGTTTCTGGCGCACAGCATCACGTTTCACTCACACATGTATGTACCTCTATTTGTCTCCACGTTCTTTTTCATCATAGGTTACTGCGAGACATCAAGTAGAGCTCCCTGTGCTGTTTTTTTATCTAGGACACTTGCTGTGAATCTAGACCCCTTATGGAACATACGGAACAGGACAGCAGGACGAAAGAAAAGAGAGCCAAAGAACTGAACTACCAGAGGGGCAAGGAACTGAAGGTGAAATCACAAAAAATATCAAAAGGACAATAATACCTTCTGCTCCCAAGCGGATAGATTTTCCTCAAGTTCTCTGTTTTCTTTCTCAACAGTCTTGATCTTCTCAGTTATCTGCTTTAAAGTAACTGAAAGGAGATAAAGCAATTTCTCATACTGGTAGGAAAATCCAGTACAACTGAATTATCCCAATTAGCAGCAGAGATGTATCTGCCTGGCAGTATGAGTGTAATGAACCTTTTAGCTTTACGGTGGTTTCCCCTTGGCTGTGACACACATGCCTGGCTGCAATCTGCATCCTTCCCTCAGCCTGAAGAGTCCTGACAGGCTCAAGCAGTGTTTCAGCGTCTTTCCTTTTCACCAAGGACCAGGTCAGGTCAGGTGCTCACTCCAAACGTTAGACTCTTCTCTTCACCTGCTTCCTAAAGGTTTCTATGCAAAATTAAACTCATCCTAGTCTCCCTACTCCTCAGACCCTCCTGGTCTCTTATCTCAATAGATGCCAACGTCCTCTGCAGTGTCATTTAGACACCACCCCAGGAGTAAAATTTTCAAGAGTTAAGAAGTCTGACATTAGAAGTCATTGTGTTTACTCTTAGTTGAATTAAAACCCACATCAAATCCCGATACTGAGAAAACATTACAAAGAAAAGTAGACCCTAGTATCTTACCTTGATACATTGGAGGCTTTACCTAGGAGAGGGAGAAACATTGAATTTGATATCAAAATATATAATTTCTAAATACATAGTTTCTAATAAACTATCAAAACAGTAATCCATTGAATTTACAATTATCATTTTTCTTCAGCGTAACGATTCATATGATTAAAAATCAGGAAAAATCAGCATTTCCTACTTAAGGCACGATCTTTCACTCACCATTTCTGATAGAGAGCACAATGGTAAATATCTTATTCTAGAACAAAACATCTGTTTACATTTTATTAAACAATCTAATTTTCATAATGCATATTTATGTTTGATAACACTGAACTATTTTATTTTCATAATATGTTGTTGTAAATACACCAACGCATCATTTATCTGATTTGTTTTTCTTTTGTCAAACTAAATATCCACACTGAAGTCCAGAACCTGGACTGTTGTATAACCTTCGAGAGAGGAGAAACTACAAGAAAAATAAAGGCAAAGTCTTTACACTAAGATACACCCCTTCATTCAATGAAAGCTTTCCTGAAATCGTATACAGAGTTGACTGTTGAATCGATAAGCAATTGTAACATACAAGATCGTAAGATTTGTCAAGACCACTAAAAACAAACGGACATCAAATGAGACGTCAGGTGAGAATGAACGTGAGCAACGGCTGTAATACAAGCACAAGCAGCAGCAGGGCAGACGGCGGCCACCGCCACGAAGCGCAAGTGCTTCCTGACTCAGACACGAGTCATCACCTGAGGAGGTACGGCTCAGTAAGGTCCAGGCAGGACTCCACTGTGACGCCATGTAAAGACACATTTTCCTGACCCTTAAAACATATTTCTTCATTCAAAACTCTAAGTGATGATCAGAGACTGCGGCCAGCCCCTAACCTTGCCAACATACTGGAGTATCATCACCGTGTCGAAAATTCAGTGGCAATAATGTGGTTATGGAAGAATGCATCCATGGGGGGCAAACAAAATCGCCATGTTCCCTTAACGTCACACGTCACTCAGGGAACACTGAGCCTCCCTGTCCCTTGTCACCCAACACACAGGCAGGGGCAGCTGGGGAGAGACGGGCTCACCAAATACTTGGTATGTTTGTTTCATTACTGAAGAAAAGGGTTTATAAATTGTCATTTTCTCATTATTCCTTCTTATATTGTTGTCTTGCTCACTGAGTTCTTACTATAAAGATAGCATTTTGCAACAAATTTCCATTCAAAATTAATTTCTGTTCAAGTTAGCAATCTATAAGGAAACAAAGAAGAGGGTTGGACTCCTGGATTCTGGCCCAGGCAGGCAAATAAAATGTCCAGTGACTGTAACACTTCCTGTTAGGTGTGATTAAAAGGACACTGTCAGGTACTTTAGTAATACTCACAGCGAGGACGGTCCTCCAGATGAAAACGAGAAAACCAAAAACTCCCCAGAAGGCAGTAACAACAATAACCTTCCACAGAATCCCATAAACATCAGGCCCAGGATTGAAAAGGACAAGCAGAGTGTGGACGACCTGAAACAATATTGGAGATAATGAGGAACCTCAAAGACATTCATAGTCTATCTGTCACAGAGAATCATCTTGAGAAACCCTCAACCACACCCTCAAGTAGCCCCTCAGAGAGGACAGAAGGGACACTTGAGTTCAAAAGGAGCAGGAGGATGCTCTTGGGAGTGTGGGTATGTTTGCTGCCTTTGTTTGGTGATAGTTTCGTTGCTGTGTACACATGTCAAATATCAACAAACCGTATTCACTGGTGCTGATATTACATGTAAATACACTACACTAAAGCTGGAGAAAAAAGCCTGATCTACAAAACGTTAGAGATATGACTTTGCTGACACACATTGCAAATATTTCAAAAATAGTTAACAGAACTTAACTTATGAATGTAGAAGCCAACTTGAAATTGAAAATCAGCAAACACAAACCTACAGGGCATGGGAGGCCTCCATCTTCTATTGTATGTTCACAAAGTACCTGGATAAATCCCTATGAAATATCGCCAAAAATACACCCAAAGCGTATAGAAAAATAGCAATGAAAATATGTTAAAATACAGAGAGATGTACAGAGATCTATTTGTATGTTTATAGATTGGACATGAGTGAGAAAGCAGACTTGCTCTAGTAATAATGCCAAAATTACTATTCTAGCAAAAATTAATGATTTATTTTAGCCCAACTTTCTAAAAGCCATGTTTTATTTCAATGTTCACTTTGATTCTGAACCAGAGCACGTAACGTCAGACTTCTGAAATAAATAAGGATTTGTATAATTGATAATCTTGTATAATGTGATTAAAATTATAAGAATGAAGTTGCATAAGAACAGAATTCAAAATAATCAGCAGAAAGAATTCGCATGCATATTTCACAGTACTGCACCTACATCCATTAACAGCCACCATGAAAATTAATTTGTACTTCTGGAATGTATGGTCACCAAAACAAAAGGCAAACACATAGTTTTGTAAAAATTTGATTTCTAAGTACTGTAGGAGGGGGATAAATGCACAATGTAATTTGTATGAATCTAGACACCAAGCTTCCGTTTTGTGCAAATAAAACCTCTCTAGAAAGCAGCCTCTGGAGTCGGTAACACTGTCATTGCCAGCTGCTCTCACAGTTGAGGTCAGTAAGATGTGTGGTGTGAAACATGCACTGTCTTTGAGTAGCCACTGTCTGAGAGAGCAGTGGGTCTCAGCACAAAGGAAAGACACGCAGATCAAAGGCATAAAGAGACAAACAGCATCTAGTTGCTAACTGGTAAAACCCCCTCTGTCGCGGGCATGCTTGTCACACACGGCACTCAGCGCTGGCGTCAGTAGCTGCCTCCGACCCAGACTCTACCCAGCAGGGCCGGTGGACTCAGGTCCTGACAGTCAGCGGCCATGAGCAACGGAGGAGGAGGACAAGTTAGTTTATCCAAATGCTCAAAGCTGTGGTGGGAAAGAGGGCTTAACTAACCTGTGAGAACTCAGCCTCATTCCCTTTGAGGGAAGAAATCCCAACAAAGATGACCTAGAAACGCCCTCCTTCGCGGGCTCAGAGGACACAGAACAGGCTCTTCTTTGGGTGGAGTGTTCATGTGGCATGATTCCGCCTCAGTGCAAAGTGTTCCTGACACTTGATTCTTCCAGATCCCTAAGAATCTGGTGCACGCCCATCAGAACAAACCCACTTAAGTCCATGGGGTGTTCTCAAGTCTTTTTTGGGGTGTGGAGGTGCTTTTTCGGGGGAGAGTGAAAATTTCACAGCATGTACCTGAATTTTCTTTATATTTGGACAATTCTAAGGACACGTAGGACCCTTTCCGCTTCGGTAAAATCAACACTCTGCACGTGGACACTTCACTAAAGAAAAGATGAAAACTTGTCCACCTCCTGGTCATGTCGCTCCTAGGCATTTCCCCATTATAAACATCCCAGCAAGCTGCAGCCACTCAGTGTCACATCGGCTGGGCTCTCAGGGCTCCCGTCTGCCTAGCTGGACACAGAGTCCCTGGGGGCAGCCTCCAAGATGAGAAGGAAAGGGATGACTCAGAAGTTGCTAGCAGTCCAACAGAAATAAAAGCAAAAATAAACAAATGGGAAACCATAAGCAAAACAAAAAGACAACCTACAAAATGGGATAAAATATTTGCAAAAGATGAGACTGACAAGGGCTTAATTCCAAGACTATATAAACAGTTCATACAACTTAATAAGAAAAAAAAACCCAACCCCAAAATGGGCCAAAGACCTAAACAAGCAATTCTCCAGTGAAGACATACAAATGGCCAATAGACACATGAAAAAATGCTCAATATCACTAATTATCAGAGAAATGCAAATCAAAACTACAATGAGGTATCACCTCACAACAGTCAGGATGCCCATCACTCAAAAGTCCACAGACGTGAAATGCTGGAGAGACTGTGGAGAAAAGGGGACGCTCCTACACTGCTGCTGGGAATGCAGTTTCGTGCAGCCACTGTGGAAAACAGTATGGAGATTCCTCAAAAGACTAAAAACAGACTTACCAATGACCCAGCAATCCCACTCCTGGGCATATGTCCAGAGGGAACCTTAATTCAAAAACACATATGCACCCCAATGTTCACAGCAGCACCATTTACAATAGCCAAGACATGGAAACAACCCAAATGTTCATCAACAGATGATGGGATAGAGAAGCTGTGGTATATTCATGTAATGGAATACTACTCAGCCACAAAAAATAATAAAATTATGCCATTTGCAGCAACATGGATGGACCTGGAGATTGTCATTCTAAGTGAAATAGACAAAGTAAATGTCAAATACCATACCACTTACACGTGGAATATAAAAAAGAAACACAAACAAACTGACTTACAAAACAAAAACAGACTCACAGACATAGAAAACAAACAAACTTATGGTTACCAAAGGGGGAAAAGGGGTGGGAAGGGAAAAATTGGGAGTTTGAAATTCGCAGATACTAATCTATATAAAGTATATGAACAACTAGCTTATACTGTACAACACAGGGAACTATATTCAATATTTTGTAGTAATTTGATAAAAAAGAATATGAAAATGAATATATGTATGTTCCTATATGACTGAAGCATTCTGTTGTACACAGAATGTTGTAAACTGTTGACATAACATTGTAAACTGACTATACTTCAATAAAAATATTTTTAAAATTAAAGGGCTATTGAATATTTGTTACATTAAAATTTCTGAAAAGAATACACTTCAAAGAAAAAAAAAGTTGCTCTAAGTTAAACGAGAAAGCACAGAGCACAGATGATACTTCACTGTTTAACAGACCAGCACCAACCCAGTGCTGAGACCCCACTGCTCCCAGGACTGCCAGACGTCACCACCAGGAAGGGCGCACTCACAGGAGAGCACACTGCACGGGGACTGGACTCGAACGTGCACAGCCTGAAGTAGGATTCTGACAAGCTTTCCAGGAGCCAGTTTCACTATGACTTCTAGTGAGTAAGAGTTTCTCACTTTTTAAAAAACAGCTTTATTGAGATACAATT